TGGACACAGGTCGTGGTGGAAGAAGACGGGAAGGGTTCTTTTAACTGTATAGATGGGGGTGGGGTGGGTGGGGTGGGATGGGGTGGGTGGGGGTGGGGTGGGGGTGGACGGTGATGAAGCCACTGGCACAGCACAGAGTTGAGAAACAGTATCTGCACAGACACCCAAAGGCAGCAAACACCTGACATAGAGGTAAGGAGGATCCCTTAGAAAAGCCAACGACAGACAGGGGTCAGGAGCACTGGCTCCTGGCAGCAGGACTAAGGGGACAGCTGTGCCCAAACTGCACTAAAGAAAATATAAGAACCAAGAGAGGGGTGGTTGTGATGCGTGTGAGAGGGTGAGCCATCCTAAACAGCAAAAAGGAAGCGCACTGCTAGTTAAGAGCTTCCTTCTTTCCCGAAAACGGAGCCATTTCTGGAGGGTGTGCCACAGGTTTTGCCTCGAAGTAGGTCCTCCTCTTCCCACAGCGCTGCAAACCCCGCCCTGTAGCTGGTTACACTGTAACTACTTAAATAGGACTCATCCCCGGTCACTAGATACACCACTATTCTAAATGAAAGCAGACTTGGCCCCTGATGTGGGCCCTGGCACAGGCCTGCCCAACTTGCAGTTTTAAGTGCCTACAGAGCATTCCTTCCCAATCAGGCATCTGCAGACACGCTGTTTGCACCCTGGCACATCCACCCGCTGTGCTCTGTGCCAGGCGGGCACACCTTAACCCTTCTCCCACAGAACTTTGCTCAGACGTGCCCCGAGGGCCTGCGTTCTGGGCGCTTGTGAGGCTGTGACTTTTGGTAATGTTTTTGCATAGTAATACCCAGGCATGAGCAAAATTTAAAACCAGTTTTATATTGGAGAAAAAAATAGACATCATTGAAACAATGCAAAATCAAAAATAACAGACCCAAATACAAATGGCATTTTAGTTCATGGTGAAGGTGACACTTAAAAGGAGGAAAAACACAAATTCACTGACAAACTGTTGGGGGGGGGGAGCTCAATTCTTAATGCATTCCCTCAGTTTGGTGCCTCAAAAAATTATCACCCTGATAGGTTGCTCAGTAGTTAGAGCATCAGCCCACACACCAAAGGGCTACAGGTTCAATTCTCAGTCAAGGGCACATACCTGAGTTGCAGGTTTGATCCCATTGCATGCAGGAGGCAACCAATTGATGTGTCTCTCTCACATCGATGTTTCTCTCTCTCCCCCCTCCCTCCTCCTCTCTCTAAAAATCAATGGATTAACATACATACATACATACATACATAAATAAAATTATCAAAAGAGTTAACAGGTATCAAGGAGTTAAATATAAAACATAAAGTTTCAAAAAGGTCTCATGAATGAGGTAGAAAAAACTTTCCAAAGAAGAAAAAAAAATTGATAACTTTAGCCCGGCCAGCATGGCTCAGTGGTTGAGTGTTGAGCAGTGAACCAGGATTCCCGGTCAGGGCACATGCCCAGGTTGTGGGCTTGATCCCCAGTATGGGGCATGCAGGAGGCAGCAAATCAATGATTCTTATCATTGATGTTTCTATCTCTCCCTCTCCCTTCCTCTCTGAAATCAATAAAAAAATATTTTTAATTGATAAATTTAAAGGTATAGTTTTTCTCTATAGATTAAAAGTTAAACAAAATCCAAAGATCAGTGTGAAATGAAAAAGATATTTACAACATGCATGGCAGCAAAGGCCTTACTACTTTAATTTATAAAATGCTTATACTAGTATAAGCTAGGGAGAAAAAATGACAACCTAACATGAAAACAGGCAAAGGTAACAACTAGCAGTTTTCAAAGAAAAAGTTTCTTTGAAATAGTAAAACTTACTGACAATTAGATAAATGCAAATCAACACAAAAGTGAAATACCTATGAGACTAGCAAACGCTGAAGACTGACGACAGCCCGCGCTGTTGGCGATGCGGATGGGCTCCCGTGGACTGCTGCAGAAGCATAACCTGTTGGGCTCTTGGGGAGGAAAATGTGACTGTCAGTATTTACAGCACCGCCCTGGCTGGGTGGTTCAGATGGGTGGAGTGTCGTCCGTACACCAGAAGGTTGTGGGTTCGATTCCTGGTCAGGGCACATACCTATGTTTCTCTCTAAGTGGTCGGCTGGAGGTGCAGGCTTCATGGAAAAGTCATTCATGCATTCATGTAACAAATAAGGTTAACCTTTACCTTAACTGAGCCTATGTGTCTTTTTGCATCTATAATTACACACCCTTGAAATGTCTGGGTAACTTGTAACTTCCCTTTTTCTGGACCCCTTGGGGCACAACCAAATGTGCCTGGGCACCAGGACAGAGACCACAGATTCCTTCATTGTTATCATGTTAATTGTTCTTGCACCCACCTAAGTATGTCTCTATCATTTTACCTTTTATCCAATTCAAGGAGTTTCCCTACTTTGCTTTCTCCTGCCTCTCTAGTCTATCACCAATAGATTTCATGTAACCCACCTACGTCCCTTCCTTTGATTGCAGTCCTATATAATAAAAGCTAATATGCAAATCGACCGAATGGCAGAATGACCAGTTGCTATGACACACACTGACCACCAGGGGGGCAGGCGCTCAATGCAGGAGCTGCCCCCTGGTGATCAGTGCGCTCCCACAAGGGGAGCGCCGCTCAGCCAGAAGCCAGGCTCACAGCTGGCGAGTGCAGCAGCAGTGGTGGGAGCCTCTCCTGCCTCCATGGCAGCACTAAGGATGTCCAACTGCTCAAGCTGGCAGTCAGACATCCCCCGAGGGCTCCCGGACTGCAAGAGGGCTCAGGCTGGGTTGAGGGATCTCCCCAAGTGCACAGATTTTGTGCACCGGGCCTCTAGTGTATAAATATAGATGTAACCTGCCATTCTCCAGAGCATATTTGTTGAGGTTCTGCTTCCCAGCAATTGTCGACAGTTTGGCTCAAATAAATTCACAAAAATTCCTTACAGGTTTGAATGTTTTTATGTTAACACCAATATGTCAGATGGTACAAAATAAAGTGAGGAAGGGGATAAGAAGTGCCTTGAGAAAAAAAGTTGCAATTTTTGTCATTGTTAATTGTCAAGGGAGGACATTTTTTCCACTGATTTTTAGATAGAGTGGGAGGGGCAGAGACAAGAGATAGAAATGTCTCACATGGATTGGTTGCCCCCTGGGGCCGGGGATCAAGCCTGCAATCCCAGTAGTGCCCCTAACCAGAATCGAACTCCGAACCCTTCAGTCTGCAGGCTGACGCTCCAACCACTGAGCCATATTGGCTAGGGCAAAAGTTGCCATTTTTAATGGAGTGGCTAGAAAAGCTGGTTTCCAAAATTTCTATAATAAACAAATCCTGCTTTTGTAATGAAAATTTTAAAAGGCCCTGAGTTGTTCAGTCCCTTTCTGTGGTCAAACAGGAAAAACGGGGAGGAGGGGCCTGACTTGCGCTCCTGGACCTTCAGTCACTCCTCCTCCCACCTCCGCTGCCTCTTGTCTGTAGAACAGACAGGCTGGCGGCTTAAGCAGCAGCCATTCGTTTCTGGAGTCCTGGAGGCCGGCAGGTTGTGTCTGAGGAGAGCTGCTTCCCCACACAGAGGACAGCCTTGGCCAGGGGCGCTCTCGGGGTCCCTTATCAGGGCGCTATCCCATTCGTGGGGCTCCGCCCTATGACTAATCTGATCCCAAAGGCCCCACCGCTCAATGCCAGCACCGTGGGGATCAGGTTTCAAGATCGGAATGGGGGAGGAGGGGCTACATCCAGGCAATAACAGGTCCTTCCAGGAGGCAGAAGTGCTTTCCTCCTTCCTCCCTCCCAACCTGCAGACTAGCCCTTTAAGGGCAACCCGCCAGAAGCCCTCAAACACAAAGCCTCGCCCTGACCGGTGTGGCTCAGCGGCTAGAGCATCGGCCTGCAGACTGAGGGGTCCCCGGTTCGATTCCAGTCAAGGGCATGTACCTTGGTTGTGGGCACATCCCCAGTGGGGAGTGTGCAGGAGGCAGCTGATCGATGTTTCTCTCATCGATGTTTCTAACTCTATCCCTCTCCCTTCCCCTCTGCAAAAAAAAAAAAAAAAAAAATCAATAAAATATATTTTAAACACACACACACACACACACACACACACACACACACACACACAAAGCCTCCTGCGCCTGAGAAGGTGGAGGGGGTGACGCTGGAAGGGGCTGACACAGCAACGGGAGACTCTCGGGAGCCCGCGCCGGACTCGGGGGGCGTGGGGTTGACAGCCCAGCGAAAGGGCCAGCACCAGCCTAGACTGGCGTCCGGCCCGCACACCTGACTCCCCGGCGCCCGGGGAGAGCCCGCCGGGCCGGGAGGGTCCGAGCGCAGGGTGCGCCGGGTCCCAGCGACGGCCAGTCCTGCAGCTTCGGCCGCGCCCACCGCCCGGCCGCCCGGGGCTGGACCCTGGACTCCAGGCGACAGTGGGGCTCGAGCTCGGGACCCGGGGGTCTCCGGTCGCGGGGCGGTGCCACCCTGGTCCCGGAAACAGAACTGCGAGGGCGGGATCCGAGCCGGCGGACGGGCGCCAGGGCGGGCGCGGCCACCACGCGGCGGGGCTCGGCTCGAGCTCTTAGCGAGGACTAACAGTGACCCTACTGGTTAGGGAAACGCGCAGGCCGAGCACCCCTAAGTCCCTTCCTCGGCGAGGGCAGCCCCGGGACACCGAGCCCCGGCCGCACCCACCCCCTCCCCGCCGCAGCGCTCCGACTTCGGCGCATGCGCCTTGCACGCCTGCGCCTCACCCGCCGCCAAGTGCCTAGACGCCAGCTACGGTGGCTGTGCTGGGGACAAATTACCAACGTGCGACCGCTCTGCAAACCCAACCTAGGAAACATGAGCTGGTGAGGCCACTTTAGGAAGGCGGAAGGACTAAATAAATAAAGTTGGGAGTGGAAGGGTTAAGTCAGCAGGTAACCGTGAGGAGGAAGAAGAAATTTCAGTCTCTGGCTCACAACCAGGAGCCCCGAGCAGGCACTCGGAGGAATCGCGGCGCTGGGAGCCCGGCCTGGGGGCGTGGCCTTAGCGCTTCCGGGGGCGGGCCCTATTCCGGGGCGGGGCCTTCTGGAGCCACGCCACGCCCTGCCCGAGGCCTGGTCACTTCACCCACACTGCGCTCGGCAGCTGCGGTCTGCACCAGCCCTTCGGAGGCGATCCAGGTGAGTGCACGCACCTGCGGGCAGCGAGGCGCGCCGGCCCTCGGGGGCACTTCAGCTCCTGCGCTGGCACCACCCATATCTCTGCAACCCGAGCTGAATAGAGACTCGCTCTCTTGCCCCCTTATTGTCTGCAGATTTCTTTCTACCTTTCCATCCCCTTCGCCCTCCACCTGCCCTGCATCCTCCCCAGGATGGAGTGGTTTGCAGCGTCTCAGCTGGCCCCTGCCGTGCCATCTGCAACTCAGAGAGATTCTCAAGGTCAACCCTTCCAAAGTCCCTTCCTTCCCTCTCCTCCAGTCCCCGGACTGTGCGCCCGACCTTGCCAGCTGCAGCTCTGGTGCGGAGGACGGGCGTGCGGGCACTGCGGGGCAGTGGGCAGGGCAGGCCCACCGGTAACACGGGGTTTTAAACGACCCTGGAGCGCTGCGCCCGCTGCGGCTGTGGCTGTGTTGCCAGGGACTCCCGGGAGCCCCCAGGGAATGGTGTTTGTTTTCCTCCCGCCCCGCCGAAACCTTTCTCAGTTTGCAATGGACCCTTTAAGAGGGGCATTTCCTACCTCGGCCTCGGCGGGATCTTCCTTTACGGTTCTGCCTGGGCTTTCCGAGAACTTCCCTCTGCGGGGTGTCGCTGCAGGGAGCCCCGGGCTGTGCGCAGGGCGTTGGAAGGGGCTGAAGACTCCATGGTGAGTCATCCCGGAGTTGTGGCTTCTGTGATACTTTCCTCCGGAGTCATGAGGTGACGGGCTCCATGGCAGCGTAGGGGACAAGTGTGGGAAGGGAGGTCAAGGGAGAGCAGAGCCAAGAGGGTGGGGCTGGGCCTTTAGTCCCTAAACTGGAGAAGCGGATTCCTGGGTGAAGGCCACGCACTGCGCTGCAGATGTGCGGGCACCTGGTGTGGTCAGCAGCGGAGAGCCGCAGCGTTTCGCTTCCTCTGCGCCTCGGAGGAGCCGCAGTGCGGGGAGGGACCCAAGGGTATCGGTCAGAGGTATAGGCTGTGTTTTACTTAGTTCAATGAATTCAGTTCAGTGAACTTGGCTCAATGAATCTGGTTCACTAGTATCTGAGGAGAGGGATCAGAATGTTTTTCCTCCTAGGAGTTAATGTAACGGTGTTAAATACAACTAACATCCAAATCCACATAAAGGTTTTTCACCCCTGGGAAGAAGTTCTGTTTAGCTTCCTCCTGACACAATGTTACAAAAATAGCAAACTCTGTCAAGCATCATTTTCACCCCTGAACCCATGTTACTATATATAAAACAGAGGCACTGGTGGGGCAGTGGCCGGCCACAGAAGCTGCGCTCACAAAGCGGCAGAAGGGCAGTCTCCCCACCCCCACACCCCACATCCCTCCTGCTGGCCTAGCTCTGCGAGGAGACAGTCCTGAGAGGAACCTCCTACTAGTAATTGGAGGACAGCAAAGAGACTGAGCGGATGTGAAAGAAGAGCTTTCCCCGTTGTCCAGAGAAATGCTGAAATGCCCCTGGACCAATCTGGAGTGAAATGGATGACAAGTCAATCTGTCAAAAAGCAATTTAGTTAGTGCCTGCTGCACAGCTGGAAATACAGACTGGTCCCTGTATTTCCATTTAAATATTCTGAATCCATATTCAGAACATCATTGCCAACCACATCTGACCAGGAACCATTTCACATTTTTATTGATTTCAGAGAGGAAGGGGGAGAGAGAGAGAGCTAGAAACATCAATGATGAGAGAGAATCGTTGATTGGCTGCCTCCTGCACACCCCCTACTGGGGATCGAGCCCATAACCCAGGCATGTGCCCTTGACCAGAATGGAACCCGGGACCCTTCAGTCCGCAGGCTGACGCTCTATCAACTGAGCCAAACTGGCTAGGGCTCATTTCTCATTTTTTAAAGCAATATTGGTTTAAAAGAATATGTTGCTACAGTTTTTGCAATGGATTCATTAATACTCTTTATGAGTATACCATCCTCCTGAAAAAGAAGAATTTAGCAGTTATCAGGTAGTGGCTGCTGTGTAACATAGAATTCCTGAGTTTGCTACACTGTCTCTTACAGTGTCTACCTGACTCTCTTTGTGGGGAGAAAAGCGATGAGGAGACAGGACTGCCTTCCCAATACATTTGCAAATCCCTGAAGGATTTCAGCATTTGGAATCGCACTGCCCCCTCTGAGCTCTTTCCAGAGTTGACCTGTTTATTAACTGGAACTTGAGTTCTAATGTTTTGGTGCCTTAGTACACTTTTTAAAAATAAGTGGTATTTTATTTCTCCAGCCTAAGAAATGTGAATGATTGGTACAGACAGGCATGGAGAGTGAGACCCCTGTCCCAGGCAGGAGCCAGGGGCCCAGGCGGTTCCTTCGTTCAGAATGGCTGGCACCCTGGCGGGGACTCCGCAGAATCAACCGCTGTTTCTTGTGATGGAAAATCCAAGTGGTGTCAGTGTGACTCATTGAGATTTTTCTTTTCCTCTCTGGCAATCAGGGCTTTGTTTCCCTGTGGCCCGCGGCTCCTGTGTAATGCCAGCAAAGGGACAGGCTGCATGGGAAATCATTTTCTAAAAACGAAGTGCCAGTGCTTACAGCTCTTTCCGAATTTGTCCAGCAGGTCTTCCGGCTTTTATTGGACGGCCCTAAAAAAATAAAAAGTGCCAATTTTTGGGCTGCCTTGCCCCTTGCAAACCTGAATGCCTGAAACACGGAAGACGGTTTTTCCTTTCTGTAATCTCTCCTCGTTTGCCATACTGCAGTGCCGACATGCTTTTTTTTTTTTTTTAAATTCCTTTCTGGACCTTTTCCAAGGTTTTTTCTTTCTTCCAATTAGAAAGATCTCGGGCTTTAATCAGTCACAGATTTAGAGTTAATTATTAGCTTTCTATTCTTGTGAATAGGAGAGAGTCTGAGGAGGTGGACAAGTTTCAAAAGAGGTCAGATGTGGTCAAAGGTGGCTCCAACCTCTTTGAGAGGCAAGATAGCCAAGGGCTGAGAGCATAGACCCTGGAACCAGGCTGCCTCTGTGAGGCTGTGTGACCTTGGGCAGATGACCTAACCTCTCTGATGCTGTTTCCTTTTCTGCAAAAATGGAAGCTATAATATATCCTAGGGATGCTCTGAGGGGTTAACGAGTTAATCGCGGTGAACTCCTTAGAACAGTGCTTGACGCGCAGTAAATGATGCGTGTGCTAGTAATAAGTAGTATGAATAATAATTTATTTCTCCATCACGCCTCCAGACACGCTGGCCTCCTTTCTCTTTCTCCACAAGTACAGCCGTCTCCCTGCCTGTGTGCTCGCTGTGTTCTCTCCCACATCACACTTTCTGTCCCGCAGCCGTCATTCCATCCATCCCATTTCACAGCCCTCCTGTGCTCTGTCCCTCCTTGACTGTCGCCACTGTGGCCGTGCCCTCCAGTGGAGCATGGCGCTTAGTAGGGCCAGGTGGGGAGGAGCCCTTCTGAGCAGGACTGAAGAAGGCAGCAGGTGGGCACCGGGCAGGCATTCCACGCAGGTAAATGGGTCGTCTGGCAGAGACTTTAACAAATAAGCAATTGTTGAGATTTTTTCCTTCTTCTGCGTCCGTGGCTTCCCCTGCTCTCTCCCTGCCTCTGAGGTCACTGCTTTCGGACCATGGAGCGTCTCTTGCAGCCTGGCCCCGGGAGCCCGTCACTGGGAGGCTGAGCTCCAGGTGGTCCGGTGTGACCCGGGGCTCCCAGGTGAGGTGTCACCACATCAGGGACTCTCACCCATGGAGCCTTTTGTATTGAGAATCTACACCAGCAAAGGGACCTAGGATCTGTCCCGTCTCATTACAAACCTGCTCTTCTTAGATTCCTGAAGCTCAATTAGCAGCTTTCCCAGGGGATTCAGCTCCATTCCAGCTCGTGTGTGCCTTTTCACGGTCACCTCCAGAGAAAAGGCGGCAGGTATAGCGCGTCTGCTCTAACACTCAGTGCAGACGCACCGACCAGGATCTGCCAGACATGCGCATCTTGGGGCATTTCCTACCTCGGCCTCGCGGAATCCTCCTTTACGGTCCGCCTGGGCTTTCCGAGAACTCCCCTCTGCGGGGTGTCGCTGCAGGGAGCCCCGGGCTGTGCGCAGGGCGGTGGAAGGGGCTGAGGACTCCGTGGTGAGTCATCCCGGAGTTATGGAGTCACGGTGACGGGCTACATGGCAGCGTAGGGGACAAGTGTGGAAACGGCGGTCAAGGGACCCCTAGTGCAGGAATGAACTCAGTTCTCCAAAGTGCTGGGATTAAAACATGTGACTCTTGAATATATATACAGCCAAGTGGTGGCTATCTATAATAATAAAAGCATAATATGCTAATTAGACCAGACAGCCAAACCACCTTCCAGACGTTATTACAGATGTCCTTCCCGACGAAACCGTGGTGGCGCAGGCCAAAGCAGAGGCGGTTAGGAGCGATCAGGTGGGCAGGTGAGCAGTTATGGACAATCAGGCAGACAGGCAGAGTGGTTAGGGGTGAGCAGGCAAGCAGGAGAGTGGTTAGGGGTGATCAGGCAGGCAGGCAGATGAACAGTTAGGGGTGCTCATGCAGGCAGGTGAGCAGTTAGGGGCAATCAGGCAGGCAGGCAGAGGTGGTTATAGGTGACCAGGCAGACAGGCGAGTGGTTAAGGGCGATCAGGCAGGCAAGCAGAGGCAGTTAGGGGCGATGAGGCAGGCAGGCGAGTGGTTAGGGGTGATGAGGCAGGCAGGCAGAGGTGGTTAGGGGTGACCAGGCAGGCAGGCGAGCGGTTAGGGACGATCAGGCACAGCTGTGGCAAAGAGGTTTGCATCCTCACCCGGTTATTATTCCTTCTCTTAAATGTCCCCGTGCTGCTTCTCAAGTCGGCTTCACTGGAAACGCTGGCAAACACATAGGTGCCATGGTGTGTGTCACGCAGAAGTGACAGACCCAGCGTCTGCAGGTATAGTTGGACCCACAGAAATCGGGGACTGCCTTTCCTCGCTCTCTTCACGGGAATGGAATTGCTCTTCGGTGCTTTCCTCCGG